CCGGCACTCACACCGACGATCACCGCCGCGCGTGCGACACACAACGCGATAAACGTTCAGAGACGCACACCACGATCAGCAGCCCCGTATACACTGCGGCGATCTGTTGTGTTGTTGTTGTTGTTGTTGTTGGCCGGCGGTGATGTTGCCGCTTCTCGAACTTTTCTCTCCACCCGTCCTGTTCAACCGCCACTCCTTCTCCTTCTCCTCCTCCTCTTCCACCAGCGCGCCACCTCTTCCTCCTTTTCTCGTCCGTCCGCGCGCCTCGCTGGCTGCGTTTGCTTAGGTGCACGTAACACACACGCGCGCGCGAGACTAGCCCGATTTCAAACGCGCACTAGATTCGCGGACGGCAAATCGATGGCCAGACCTCTCCAACCGCGATACGCATCAAGAACCGTCTTTTTTTCTCCCTGTGTTTCTCTACCCGATATATACTCTGTCGGCTGGCTGTTTCGCGGTATCCGTTTACCTCTCGTAGCCTGTTTTCACTGTTCGACGACGTTCGGTCTATCTCGTTCGCGTCCGTGTCTCTATCTTACTTCGAGTTCCACTTGCCCTTCTGCTTACACGCCAGTTTACCTTTCCCCTGTTCTATACGTTTCTTTGTCCCTCTTTTGCTCGACGACGTTTCTCTTTACTTCGTAGCTAGTTACTCTCCTTTCCCTCTCGCTCTATCTATCTATCTTTCTCGATTTATTTCTCGCTCTTTTTCTGCCTGACTTCCCGTCGGTTCTCTTCTTTCTTCACCTTCGTTTCACAACATTCACTACGATCACAGCAAAACACGTGAGGAAAAGAAAATCAACGATAGGGCCGGTAGGAATATATACGAGGCAAGAGAATACGACGCACCGCTGCTCCACACTTCCTTACACGGAGTCGCGTGCGAGCGAACCGAGAGCGTGTTCGCGATACACGACAGAGGACAGAGACAGAACAAACAGCGCGCGCGAGCGAGCAAGCGAGCGCGAACGGTACAATTGGAAAGAGGCACACTATAGTACAGTCACTAGGCGAGTCGAAAGGGTCGAGATTACGCGTGTCGCCGGTAATTTATCATGGACGCGGGCGAGCGAACCGACGAACGAATGCGAAAGAACCTGACCTGGATCAGCGGCCGGTTCGACTTGTGTGCGCCCGACAAACTATTATTTTTGGTCAGGACACGAGTATCGGTGTATCGTGTACAGCGTACATGTGCATGCGACCACTTTACGTGCCGGCTACTTGTTTTGTGCAGCGACCTTGAACGCATAGATCTTACAGGGAGCCGTACACCGAGTCGCTTAGAGAATGGATTTAGATGTTACGATATTTCGAACGTTTACGCAAAGTATATCGTGTTTACCGAAATGTGAGATCGAAAGAATTACTCGAAAATGACGAATTTTTTTCTTTTCTTGCCACGATCGGACAAATGTGAAATTTGGAATTTTCAGAAAAAAAATGTTCGGCTTAAACGAACCGATCACCCTTTTTTCTCGATCCACACACGTAACTCGGTCAACTTCACGCGAGGTCAACGATTCCCATCAAACTCACGCAATATGCAGTTCGCGGTAGCAGACGGACGCACGCATGCACGCACACACGCGAAGCGATGTGGAGTGGTGTGCCAATAAAACCGCAATTTACTCGTCAGAGAAAATGTACGTTGTCACGCACAAAACACACGGCAAATCTTCTAGAAACTCGCATGGTACGCGCCCGATCACGGTAATGCTCGTACTGGTTTTCCGTTCACGATGAGCACACAGAAAGGCGCTCCCTTGATTCCGTTCCCGACTGGATTGCAAGCAACTTTTAGTACACATGCACATTACACCGCACAACACGCATATGCACACGCGCGTAACGCGAGTGAAAATACGTGTATACGTGATTGGTAACGAGTGTAGTTCCCATACGAGAGAGAAACAACGGCAACACGATGGTGCATGCACACGTTCACTCTGCGTTGAGAACGTTGCGCGAATACAGCGCGAGTAGAAGTAATACGCAGTACGCGGAGCAACCTTAAGGATCACGAGACCGTATACCGCGTATCTGACAATGCACTTACGCTCGTTTATGACAACGGTCTAACGTGGATGTGGTACCTCTTAGCTGTATACATGCACCAGTAAACGCGTGCGTACGTATGACGCCGAGGATCGAGTGTATTTCGACCCTATCGTCCACCTAGTGACATTTGGCACGCCGGATACGTTCGCTCACACACGAAAGTAGGCGCAGCTGAGCGACGACGTAAAGAAAGACGGTCACTGTGGATCGGCACTGCCTAACACTACTTCTTCACAGGTTTTCGCGGGTACCAGAGTGGGGGGCTAGTCAGGACAAAGAAAAGGAGGCTCGAACTGACCGACGACGACGAGCCCACGAGCCCCCGACGACGACGACGACGACTACGACAAGCCGACGAGCGAGCGACAGCCTGATACCTCCGCACTTCGCGAGCACTCTCACGCATTTATCGATGTCAAACGTCTCTGCACCGTAGAAGCACCAGGCGTCGTTTCTTACGGCGACACTGATTGGCCGAGCGGTGCGCGAGTGCACTGCCTCGCCCAATCAACGTATACAATACGGCGCTGCCGTACGAGCCGCCACCAGCACCGGTGGTGTCACGTGAATCTCATGCCCGAAAACAAAACAAACAGCTGGCTGTATTCCTTGCCTCGCTCTCCTGCACGCTATCGTGCGTGTGCTTTTGATGCACGATATTCCTGAAGTGGCTAGCCCCTTTTCATATACGATGTACGAAAATCGAGAAACTACATGCTTTAAGTAAAATATTATGTTACCGATCCTATCGAGAATCAGCTTAGAACGATACAATCAATTTTTAAATCGTTTAAAACATGTTTATACCCTCTTTTTTGGTATATACTAGTTTCTTCGGGAAGAAAAATAGCTTGTACGTTGTTATTCGCGTTAAATTGAATATATCAAATTTAAAATATCTCTCGATATTTTCTTATAACAAGAATTTTAAGGAAAGTGCATTTGAAAATTCATATAATCGCGCCATCTCCTGTATCCTACTTACCGTCACACATACTTTTTCAAATTGGTACTTCTGGATCTATCGATATTTACACGGCGTCTGGTATCGTGTTCAAATGTAACGGATCTTTATTGCGATTGAAGGAAAGTTCGATAATTTTTCTACGTTGTGATTGTGAATAACATGTGTCTGAAAAGGGAAAATTAGTGAAATCTACAGGTCTCTGCGATTTTCGTTAAAGGTTAGAAGGATTTCTTCGAAGATACTGTTTGCATATAAAGTTGGTAACCAATTGGTAAGTTACATGAAATTTATAATTTTTGCGTCGTTTGTATTTGATTTTAACAATCAAGTATAACAATCGAAGGAATGCATACACATATTCGCGTATGTATGCATTCTAATAATTTTTGTCGTTTAACGTATCATTATTTACGACTGCAATTACTACATGCATTTGTCATATCCGTGACAGAAAAATTTGCACTTGTATGATGTATTCTATATTACGAGGTAATTTCATGTAATTTATTTGAAATCGATATAATCGCATCATAATTATGATACGAATACAAATGAACATAACTAATGCAGTAATTATGAAGAAATTTTACCAAGTCTTGAAATAATAAGTATACTTATACGCATAGGGTTATAATTAGTTCAAACAATGGAAACGAACGAAAATGACAGGTTTTGTTGATTTGTGTTCTATTTTCAATGAATCGATGTTTATTCTAATAAATTATCGACCGAGTAAAACAACGTTATTAAAAATCCTAAAATTACAACAATTTTGTTGTAAATATAATTAATATTTACTGTTTTATTAAATCACCATAGTT